AAGTTTCCGTTTTGAAAGATACTGTCACTAATACTCAGATTTCTTCTGTTTCTTAGCTGTCCCCTTCCTCCCCTTCAAGGTTGATCTGCTAGATAAGTTCTTTCCCAGTAAGATATCATATCCTCTGCTAAGAATCATTTAGTAATATGCTTTGGTGAAAATCAATACATGTAATGAAAGTGATAATACTGTCATCCTTATGAAGGAATTATTACCAGCATGAACTATTTTTAAAGCACTGATGACACTAATAAAGGCCAGCCTAAATAAACCTAGTGTCTAGAACTGTGCTGAAGACGGCATAAAGCAGCGGCAGTCACCAGCCATCATCATTCCTCTCTCTCTTTCATGGATTCCACCCACCCACCTCTACCTCAGTACTTTGTGAGCATGGACTAGGTGACAGATACTGGGTAGACACGGGATGAAAAGAGCATGAATTAGGGTCTCTGCCTTCATATTATTTGCAATCCATAATTAGCCGCACAAACATACAGGGTAGGGCAAAAGGAGGTTTACAGTTCATATGGAAAATAGTACAGTAATGAATAAATAATAATACAAGAATAAACTCTGTGTTTTGCAAACTCACAACTGTAAACCTCCTTTTGCCCTGCCCCGTATTCTTTCTTTTTACATGTGGTCTGTAGGCTCTCCCCTGGCTCAGGCATGAAAAATGGATTTGCAAAGGGTCTGTAAAAGGGGAAGCTAATTATGGGTTGAAGAACAAAGGGCAAGAAAAAGGCCTGTAGTGTGTGGGGTTTTAGGGAAAATGGTAACAGAGAAATCCACTACGAGGGTCAATACGCTCTCACTATCACAATATTAATCTTGCACAATCTTAAACTCCATGTAAATGATCAAGACAATATTCATTAGCCCAATCAAGTATATATTGAGCAAAGGGGTTAAGAATGTGGGAGATAGAGAAAAGAATAACACATCCCTCATCTTTAGGAATTTAATGCTTAGGTTGAGAAGCCGTAAATTCATGCAGACACACAGGTCAACGCAAGCAGTGTGTGAACACCGAGTGTGGGCAGGAGCAGGAAGGGCCTCAGGGCGTGAGGTTGTCTGTCTGTCCTTGTCCTTGAAACTAGGCACCTTGTCAACCATTTCCTCTGATTCAGCTGTAAGAGACAACAGAAAGGCCTAATCATTTGTTGTGATGAGGTTATTAAGGAAAGGAATTACAATTACAGAGAAGGCTGAGTAAGAAAGAAATGAGGGAGGACTGTATTAGTCTGAAGCAAACAGGTGAGCGAAACTATTAGCGTGCTGGTCAACATGTGGGCAAAAACCCATCATCACAGGATGAAAATGCCAAAGGGAGTGGCCCCCACCCATCTAGATCCTCAGGACAGGGCTGTTCATGCTGAGGGTAGGAGGGGAAGCTCAGTTATCCTCTGAGAACATCAATCTCAGGCTACTGGTACTATCTCAAAAGTAACTTGCTAAATATAATTTTCAGAAATCTCCCATTAAAGTAAAAAGTCACTTCATGGCTTCCATTTTTTATCCCCAAATTTCTAACCCAGATAACCTAAGTGATTCTTCTTTATAGACACAGCTCCTGACTTATAGAAGGTGCTCAGTAAATGCTGGCTCCCTTCTCTCCAACCACCACATTTCATTAGCAGTAATAATAAATCAATGCTATTAAGCCTACTTCATATATGACAGTGACATTGTTATATACCAAAAGATAACACCTTATGTTAATCTTTTAAAAATTGGATCTCAACATTACTTTTCCAGATAATTTATAAGAATGGAAATTTGATCTTAAAAACACCTTAATGCTAAAGAAAGATGTATATACTAACTAGTCTCCAATAGTTTGTTTTTAATGGGGGGTTTGTGCAACCGGAAAGTCCAGTAGTATTTCCAGTTATTAATACAGTCTAGATCTTCTCAACAGAGTAAAAGAGAATGACAACCCTATTGGGGTCTAGTAATAAGGGACCCTGAGGATGTCTATACAAAAAAAATGGCTGATTCTGGTGCAAATATGTGAAATATCGCCATAAAGTAAAATCTACTGGAATTTTGGAGGAGAGATTACACAGGAAATTGTCTGATTATCTGATATTTGAAAAAGAGATATGATACATTTTTATTTTATTTTCTAACTGCGGGGGGCTGAGTGAACCCCTAACATAATACATTTTAAGACAGCTGTGATAGGCAGAAATCACTTATACAAGGGTGAAAGAGAAAAGGAAGATTTAAAAAGTGGCACTAATCTCTACTTCCTTAGTTCTAGGACCTTTCCCTCACAAAAACTTAAAACATTATTATTTAGATAAGACTCAATAGCATTATCTGATTTGAATTATTGTTGTTAGATTAATAGAAAGAAAATTAGACTGTTTTGTGTGACCACATTAAATTTAAGTTTATGATTTTGACAGAAAAAAAATATTTTAAGTTATATATTAACCTGCAAAACTTTTATGATAAAACCACTCCGTAAAAATTACGTACTTCAAAAACTGACTTGACTAAATACCCATGGAATTGGTTGGTTGTTCTATTGTGGAAAAGTCATAAAGGAAAAATAGAACTTACGGGAGTTAGCTATAGATATTGTTACCTAAATGACTGTAAGGATTACTGTGGCAACAGTAGTTCATTTTCATATATAAAAATTATTTTAAACAATTTTACTTTCATGTTTGAGTAATTGGGAGAAAAATCAGTTTAAAAACTTGGTACTAATAAAAAAAATCAAAATTTCAGAATTTCTTTTTAAATCTAATTTTGTTACTTTTCAGAGAGTAAATAGGGATCTGGATGAGTAACATTATCTACATTTCTGCAAGTGTATTTATAGATAAATTCATGTTAACTAATTTGAATTGTAAAATGTTTGTTTTCTTTAAAAAATGTGTTCACTGAGGTTTAGTGATTTCCTTAAACACTTTAAACCTTCTTCTTACAAAATACAGCATGAATTTGCAATTTTCCAAACAGTGCAAAAGTTTACTTTTATCTCCATCCCTTTGAAGGATCACAAATTCCAAAGTCTTCAGGATTTACTGTAGTAACTGGTACTTTCATAACTGGAATTTCTTCTTATAAAACTACCAATTTTTCTCTCTCTCATGACAAATATGTTAATTAATTTGTTTCAAAGTCCTTTGTCACTTTATAGAGTGGTGACCTTTGTCCAAATGACTGTTCATCTGACAAACCCAGCTTGTGTGTCTTCCACTAGAACACAATAGTGATGCATGTGTCTGCTACTTCCATTTTCACCTCTCCCTGCCATTTGTCACTTTCCACCTCTAGACAGCAGGCCAGGCTGCCTTTCTGCCCAGCTTAATATGTAAATCCCACCATGTCCATGTAGGATGGGGTGTCTCTTCTATCACATTTGATATTTCCAAATACATTCTGCTGTGTGGTGGTAAATTCTAGATCGGCTCTGGGCTTTTGTCCCATTTCAATAATTTTGTAAGAAAAGTAGAACTGTATCTTACAGTTTTTTATGATTACCTTTCTCCTGCATATACCTATATATCAATATGCAGATGTACAGCTTTTAGTAAAAAAAAATAAAAAGGATTATTCAGAAAATTTGAATTAAGGTAATTTTAAACCATTGACTACAGTACAATTTTTATTTATATGATTTAAAGTGAAGTGCTGAGAAAAGTTTATTTGGATTATGTATACTTTCCTTACACCAAGGGTAAAGGAATCTTTTTTTCCCATTGGGCTAAATAAAAAGCTTTCGAGCTTATACTAAATTAGTTCATTTTACACACAAAGTGACCATTTTAAAAGGAAAGCTTACAGGATTAAAAGAATCACATTAATTTAATAAGAGTATCCAGCAGTAATAACATATGATAGTTGAGGAATACATAGAAAATCCATTTTATCAGATGACATAAGTTTTGGCAATAAATATTTTTTATTTAATTTAGTCAAGAAAGGGGAAAGAAGTGGCAGATGTGGGAGAAAGGGTGTCAGAAGAAAGCTACAGAAAGATAGATAAAAGAGAAGGGAAGATGTCAGTGAAAGCTGAAACCTCCAAGTAATGACATAAAGTTTGTGATGGATGAATTGAAACATCACACATTACAACTCTCACACGTCACATTGGTGATCATGTGTGCTCATTACAAAGCCCTGGGATGTTGGCAGGTGCAGTTACAGTTTATAGATGGAGGAAATGAAGCCCAGAAATGTTACACAACTTGCTTAATGTCCACAGCTGGCTAATAGCATAGATGGGTTTTGAACCCAGGTCCCCAGACTCTGCACCCTGTACTCTTTCTTCTATGTGGCCTTGCATCTTCAAATGACTAAAAAGTGATATATTACTTTACCCTACCTTGTTCCCCTGCTTCTATTCTCGATCTTGGTTCATTTATCCCACAGCTGATTACTTTGCTCTGTTAAGTTTGCCTGCATTTGCCTTACTAGTACATCAAAGCACAGATTTAATTTTTACTGTACTTAACCAAATTAAGCAGTGAGCAGGACCTGGTTACTGGCCTGTTCATACTTCGTAATGTGTACCGGATACCATGCTGTGCACCACTGTTTACGATAACCTTAGGCATTTCAGTGTTGTTTCCAGTCTGTGGAAACTAAGGCTGAGGCCCAACGATGTTATATTCTCCAATTCGGGTCTCCATCCTTGGTCACAGTAGCCCTAAGTAGAAGTGTTAGGGATTGAACTCTGGTTTTTGTATCTTCAAAATCCTTGACTCTTTTCATGACAAATAACTCCCTTTCTCCACTGAGGTCAGATGGCTTTTTATATCTTAATAATATATCAAGGGTTAAAAGATAAAAAATTTGCTGCCTCTGTACCCTCATCCCACAAATGAACTATTGTCATTTTTTGACAAGGAAAACCATCGACGGGGCTGAAATTGGTTGTTGTTTTTCTCACTCATTATCCAAATAAGGTGATAACGTGAAGTCTGTTAGAACATTTTCAATCTATGTGTTAATTAAAACCTGTTATCTATTCTTTATAGTATAAAGATGCATTTATGAAAGCAAATCCTGGCTACAAATGGTGTCCTACCACAAACAAGCCTGTGAAATCCCCAACACCCACTGTCAATCCACGAAAGAAACTATGGGCCTTCCCATCTGACTCTTCAAGAGACTTGCCAAGCCCCAAGAAGGCCAAGACTGAAGAAATGCCTCAGCTCAACTTTGGAATGGCCGGTGAGTTTAGACACTATTCCTATCTGTTCTTTAAGGACAGGGCAATACATTTAGGCAGTACTTTTCCCAAACAATACACAGAGAGAGAAAATAATAAAGAGAAACAAAGAGAGAAGTAAAATCTATGACCAATAAGAAGTAGTGGCAAATATAATATAGCGTATCTGAAAGCTTTGGACCATAGTAAACATAGAATGAGTATATATAATTAAGGAAAGGAGGTACAGACCACGTGGTAGAGTCACTATACATACATGTGAATTCCTGACATTGGCATTATGGGAAAGCAGACAGCAGTGTGGATATTGTTAGGAGCTCAGGGAATTTTATAATGTAGAAAAATAATTTACAGACACATACACAGTTAAGCTATCTCAGTAAGCACCTTAGTTATTGTGGATACTTAAAAAGCCACAGTTATGTAGATCATCTGAGGATATGAAAACATCTAGGGCAAGAATATGAACAACTCTATCACAAATCTGAGATGGATCAGACAGCTGTTTCTTAGAGGGAATTCCCATCCTACCCCCTCTCCTGCCCCATTCCTGTATGGGCTGAGTAAATTTAAAATTCCAGGTGGTCCCATTTGTTATGGGACCTTTAATACTCTTTGGGTGGTAAGGAATTCTAAAGCATGTATAACTGTGAAGTAAAGTACTTATACTCACCCTGTAAATGGCTGTGTCTTCCCTGGCTATTGCAATGGAGTACGCGAGAAGAATTTTCCAGGATGAAATTGAAAGATTGGGCAGGGGGATGCAGTGAAGTTGAGGTTGAGCTATAGGGTTCCTACTGCATTATTACAAGCAGTTTTCTTCTAAATGAGAGCACTGAACCATTTGTAATACGGAAAGCTCTGGGAAGGAGGTCGAACACTATTGTGATGCCACTTCATCTTTTTTTAATGGCCAGTAGGCCTAATTCGATTTAATAGTTCAATGTGTGATTCATAATATAACAGAGTATGTGGTGGTGTCACATATGAGCCTAAGAAGTGCAGTCTGATATAATAGCAACATTCGGGGAGAACAAAGCCTTCAGGTGATTGTTCTGTAGGTGTCTGTAGTGTAATTCTAGGTGAGCTTCCAAAATGATACTTGTGCATATCCCAGAAGAATAAAAGTGGAGATTGTCCCTTGTTTTAGCTGTCACTTTGTACAATTTTAGCTTCAAACCACTTGTTAATAGTCTTGGCGTGCATTCTGGACTTCCCACACTGTATCAGTTTGAATGTTTTATAAAACATTTTATTATCAGGACCGAAAAAGAATATATGGACGATCAGCTTCTAACTGCATTTCTTTGATTATTATTTATCTTCCATTGCTTTTTTCCCAATTTTAAATCTAGGTCAGTCTGTGTAGGGTTTTTTGCATACAATGGCTCTTTACAAACCAAGAATAATTGAAGATAAATTACAGAAAGCTATGAATGGTGTCTGTTTATAGCACCATTTCTGACGGTTTATTAATCTACCTTTTATACCTACAAATTAAAAGTGGGAGCAAGACTTCAACCAAGATATTTACAAGTCAGCTTTTAAAAGCTGTGTTCTTTAAAGCAGAATATAAGAAAGAAAAAAACACCTTTCTTGCATTTACCTCATTATGTGAGGGCTTGTGATGGATGTTAGAAATAGAGGATCCAGGCCCTTGTTAAGTTAATGTATAGTGAAGGACATTGGTCTGATATTTCTAGTTATTTCCTTTTCAGTACAATGAAAGCAAATTAATTTTCCTTTAATTAAAACATAGTCCTTAGCTGTTTGAATCTAAGGGACACTGTAGGGCTTTTTGGGACCAGTTTGAGCTTTTCCTCAACATGGAATGTTGTTTTTTGTTTTGTTTTGTTTTCCTAATAGTTCTTGTCACATGACATTTTGCTATTTTGCATAATCTAAAAGCAGTAAGTTGTATGATTTCCAAGAAAGGAAAGCTATGTAGAATTTAATTTAGTATAAGCCCTCTTAGGGAAGGGAAAGCATATTCTTTACATAAATATATTTTTGATATTTCTAAATAACATTATATAAATATAAATTAATATAAAACAGAATGGTAATTTCTTGGTCTGTATTTTAGTATCATTACAGCAAATTTCTTGAAAAGTCACATTTGTATATTACTTAAAATTATCATATAAGTGTGTTTCTAGTTTACTTTATAATTTGAACTAACACATTTTTATCTTTATTAGAAAGTGATCATCCAATCCTCCTGATCTCTAAAGTGACAGCTGCAAAATTATTTAGCTGCCCAGAGAACCAAATTAAACTTTTCCATTTTGCTAAATTCATTTCCCCCTCCTGATTTTTATTTTTAAATACATTTAAGTATCTATTTTAACAGCCACAATAGTTCTTAACCAACAAAAAGCCTTGTTTCATCAAATTAGCATGCTCCTGTGTATTCTATATGCGTGTCTTCCTTGTGGCTATCTTTTAACATTAAGCTTGGCCACCTGATCATTTGGTGACATATTTTCCCCTCTAATAGTCTCTTCCTTTTTTTTTTTTTCTTTAACTACAGCAGTTTTTTTCTCTCCAATTTTTAAAAAAGTTTGTATAAAAAATGTGGTCAGAGTTGCTTCTTGAGTTCGTGAGACAGATTGTATACAAGATATACTTAAGGGCATGCCATGCCTTAACATGAGAATTCCAAAAAGAAAAAGGAAAGAAACTCCTGAATGTCTTTAGGCAACAGTATGCCTGATCATCATTTTTAATTGTAGAGAGGTTCCTAAAGTTAAAAACTCATTTATTTATTTAAATACATTTTTATTGAGTTTAGAGAGAGAGGAAGGGAGAGGGAGAGAGAGAAACATCACTGTGAGAGAGAAACATCATCCCATTGCTTCCCATATGTACCCTATCTGGGGATTGAACCCGCCACCTGGGTATGTGCCCTGACCGGGAATCAAACCTGTGACCTTTCGGGGCATGAGATAATGCTCAACCAACTGAACCATACCGGTCAGGGCTAAAAACTCTTTTATTGAGGACCTACATGTACTACAATGGACACTGAGAGGGATTTTTACATATGTTATTTCATTGCAGTTCTGATATTTAATTTATTTAAGACAGCCTTAAAGGATATGTGTTTCTAATTGTCTATAATACTTTCTTTGTTTAAATATAACCCTGGGTCATAGATCTACCAATTTGTTGTTTTTATTTTGTCTTTCTGTTTCTGTTGATTTTTGAAGGAATGAAAACAAAGACTTCAGTAATATAAAAAGTATTCATTTTAAATCTTAAAGCTATTTCAAGGAAGGGCCTGACTATACCCCTAAGATTTAATATGTCAAAAAGACATCATTTTTAATTTTAAGTTTTAAAGAAACATTATTTGAACAAAGCCTACTAGATTTTGCAGGCCCATTTGTAAAATTGTTCTGTTTTCTAGTTCCTCTTATAGCCTGGTTCTTTTTATGAGCCCTGATTTTACATGGCAGAAATAACAGTTTGAGAATAACAATGTCAAACTTCTTAGGCGATAAGCATAAGCGCTCTTTTGTTTTTAAAAGAAATCCATCTAAACTTTCCATGCAGTCAGGAAAGAAGCATCACATTAAGGAGATAATTCACGTTATAAACAGCTATGGTATCGAAGGATGTATTATGTTGGAAAGGTGGGACCACAGTAGTATTTAAAAGGCTGACAAGCCCGGCCAGGTATAGCTAAGTGGTTGAGCATCAACCTAGGATTCAGGAGATGGAGGTTTGATTCCCGGTCAGGGCACATGCCCAGGCTGCGGGCTCGATCCCCAGTTCGGGGGCATGCAGGAGGCAGCCCGCCCATTGGTAACAACTCTCTCATCATTGATGTTTCTATCTTTCTTTCCCTCTCCCTTCCTCTCTGAAATCAATAAAGAACTATTAAAAAATTTAAAAATAAATGAAAGACTGACAGAAGTATAAGTACTTAAGTACATATGTGCCAGGCATAAAGAGTTTTGAAAAGTTTTCTATGAAAAGCTATATGTGGTTCTGTTGCATTTCTGATTGCTACCCTTCGTGAGTTTCCTTTTTTCACTCTGTGTGGATTATACATATTTCATGGATGTTAAATTGATGATTTGTTTTTTACTTAGATCCCACTCAAATGGGAGGACTGAGCATGCTGCTTTTAGCTGGAGAACATGCTCTTGGCACATCAGAGGTAAGCTGGTTCCTCATTCTGCTCATGCTGGGGGTTGAGAATACAGACATTTGTATTCTGTTCACACTGTGAGTTCTGCACTTTCACTGTTTACAGCTCCTGAACAGACTTTACTTTTGTTTTCATTGAGCTCTGTATGTGCATTGTATTGTGCCTTGAGGGTAACAGAAGTGGTGCGAATGAGCCCAAGAGCACACAAACACAAGGCAGATGTAGATTTTGAGGTTCCGTAAGCCTAGGAGTAAGAAATGCAATATACAGATAATTAGCATTTGTGAAGACTGTCCTGGGTCTGTAGGGTGGGTCCTGTGATTCATTCTAGTCAATTCTTAACATTCCCTACTTTTGTCACATTCTCCTTGAGACTTGCTAGTGAAAAGATGAGAGATTAAAGAAGCATGAAACTGTCCGTCTCTCTGGTACCTGAATAAATCCAAATTTCTGTTTTAGAAAATTAGGAGACATGGCATTCCAAGGTTGTTTTATTCTTTAAAGTGGAAAATGAAAAGGACCCAGGCCTTCTTGACCTTGGCTTTATGATCTTTTGTTCCCTTGTATAGTTATTGGTCTGCTTTTGCTCAATGTTTTTAGGTGTGGTTTTGATGGGTAGGCAGTAGCAGTTTACCATGCATAGTTTGCATTTGTGGAATTCTTCTATTTTCCAGAGACCAGATCAATTAACTTGAAGGTCATGTTATTTTATCACACTCAGGTACTTGAGATGGAAATTTTCCAATCCCCAACCAAAGTTGTTATGTAGGGCAAAATAGCAGTCAGCCCAATTTTATTGCAGATATATATATTTTTTTACTTTTAAAAAAAATCATGAGTGTGCCATACAGATTACAGTTGAAGCCTGTTCAAATAGTGATTTTAGAAGATACCATGTAGGATCTTTACATCACAAAAGCCTTTTATTATAAATAATTTACATCTGGGGTCCATAATAGTTGACCAAATGTTCAATTTAATTAATTTTGATTCCATTCAGTTCAGTGGAGCAAAAACTGTGTAAGTTGATGGACTGGTAGTTATTTACATTGTACTAATCTTTAGCTGAGAAAAGTAAGCATGTCACTTTGTGCTTTTGCATATTCATTATTCAGCATGTTTGTACTTCCTAACATTCTCGAGCATCATTTCACTTTCTAACACAGGGTGTTGCCTAATAGCAATCAGACTAGCTCTGACCTGGGTGTAGACTGTCCCAAGCACTTTCCGAAAGGTGAAGTGAATGTTGGGATAATGATGCACACCCGACCTTTCAGCAGAGTCTGACTCATGATTTCCAACAGTGCATTGTATTGTGAAAGCCAGCATCATCTTTTCTAACAGATTAGATTATAATGATGTTTTCTTTCCAACATCTATTAACATTCTTTCTAAATTCCAGGAGCACATGTAAACCCATAAAACATCCATAGAACTCACAGATTAGATGAAAATGCTAGTCAAACAAAAGAATGCTTTTCCTCCTCTGCTTAAAGTTCTACTCCTGGGCTCTTTTTAGTAAGAATTTCTCTTCTCCACTTTCAAGAACAGCAGAGATCTGACAAAGCAGTGTTTAACCTTTGATTTCTGATGAAGGGGAGGAAACGAAACCATTTTGAGAATTCTCAAGCTAAAGAAATAAAGCTAATTGGTTTTAAGAAATGAATCAGATAGAAGGGAATCAGCTCAGGAAGAAGTTGCCAGCAGTTAGGTCTTTAAGAACCACTTCTGAGAATACAACTTTTTTATACCCACTTGCTCTTACAGATGCTTTATTCCTTGTTGCTTTAGAAAAGGAAGTATTTAACAAAGCGAAAGATAATATGTGTGCATTCAGTGCAATCATGTGCTGGGGGAAGTGAGGAATGGAAAAACAATACAAACTAAGATTGTTAGAAAGAAAGATTCTTAGGCATAAATAGGGGAAAAAAATTTTTTTGACTCACTGCTGCTTTTAGTAGGAAAAACTCAACAGCCATTTACAGTGAGATTATTTTACTATTTTGGGTGGGATTTTGAGATGTTTATCAAAATTAAGTTAGCTTTTGACAGTGTAAATATACTTTGACAGTCTAAATCAAAAGCAGATTTACTTGGAAAACAAAAGAATACAGCTTTTTAAAGCTTTTTCTTCATAATCCCTATTTCTTATCTCAGAGATATTTAGGTCATTATTGAAAATAATCTTGAGATACTGAAACAATAAAGCAGTAAAAGTATAAAATAATGCTGCTTTAAATATAGTTAGTTTATGTCATATAGGCATTAACAGACTTCACTTAGCACCTGATTTTCTGTTCAAAGTCTTATTCCAAACATGGAGACATGGTCATATAACTTTAGGGCTTATATATACCTAGGCAGATGATGAAGCTAAAACAAATACAGTAAATACTTGAATTTTTCTAAGAAAGAAAATCAGCAGAATAATGAGTTAAGGAGAAAGATACAAAAATTTTATACTACTGACATACTGTTAGGTATGACCAGTCAAATAAAGTGACATTTTACAAAAATTCTGCCACAGAGAAGGTCTAATCCTAATAGCTTCCCATGACATAATTCTTATTCTGGAATATTATTCTTAAAGGGAGGAGACTTGCCTTTGTTATTGAATCTGAAACCTAACTACATAGAACAAGTCCTCAAAAGTCTGTTTTTTTAAATATGGAAATTTTAATATAGGTAATAGTTTTTCTGTTTTTTGTTGTTGTTGTTTTAATTCTAGAAGGTAGAGAGTCTTGTAACTGAAATAATAAAATTTGAGATTATAAGTTTCTTTGGCCTGTACTATTTCCTGCATCTACCTAAAGTACTCTTAGAGCTTTTAGACAGAAATGATAGGTCGTTGAGCTATCAGTGGATAAATAATAACAAACAAAATATTTGCATTTTCTCTTTTTCTCAGTCTTTTGATTAACTCTGAAGCTGCCATAATAGATTTTTGGCATTATCAAGTCAGCATTTTTATATGATACTGTTACTGAGCCACGCTTGGTTCTGTAGTTTTGATTGGGGTGACAGTGTTTTGTGGTGAATAAAAGGGATGAAGTTTGCATTTAAGTTTATTTTGGATCGTTTATTGTTTTTTCTTATTTTTTATTGATTTTGAGAGAGAGAGAGATTTATTGTTCCATTTATTTATGCATTCATTGGTTGATTCTTATATGTGCCCTGCCTGGGGATGGAACCTGCACCCTTGATGTATGAGGATGACTCTCTAACCAAATAAGCTACCTGGCCAGGGTGGATCTTTTATTTTTTACATAAATGATCAGCTCTATATTTCCTTTATACCCAGAGTACATTGAAATGCATTAAATGTTTGGGATACATTTTAAAAAGCAATGTTTGTCATTAAAAAATTTACAGATTAAAGAAGCAAACTAGATGCATTGCGCAAGACTGGCATAAAGGAGTGATCCCTGGCTCAAAATGGACTAAGCTTGTTTTCACTGAGACCCGGTAAAACAGAGCGTAAGCGTAGACGTCTCCTTAGGAAATAACTCCAGAATAGTGAAGGAGATGGGAAGAGGTGTTTCCAATGAATAGGAGATTTTAGCAAACCTGTTTAAATCAGAAATCAGGTGGAAATTCAGTCATTGAGTATGATGTAAGTGCCAGCAGAAAACAAGCTATCTGAGGGCTGCAGAAAGCCACTCTGTTCAAAACAACGCCCAGAGGTTTAAGTGAACGTATACATTTTTCTTTTTAATTTAAAGGAACAAGAAAGAAAAAGTTGAAGAAACAAGTAATAATGTTCACATCAAACTCTGGGAAGAGCTCAAGTGAAGGCAGTTACATTAAAAGAGTTTAGCCCTTACTTTTCATATCAGGTAGTTCTCTACAGATGAAAATACAATAAAGTATACGTAATTTGATCTAGAGTTTCTAGAGGTAATCTTCAGGACTAAAAATCTTCTGTATTGTAAAGCTAAATTGAAATTTAAAAATAAAGGCAGGGAGTATATAATTCAGAAACTGGGGGGAGAGTATTCAATGCATAATGTATAGAATAGGTGGATTAATATTGGGAAGGACAGTATTCAGTATTGGACCTAAGAAGGGATGTTTTGGGGAATAGTGGAAAATAAGAAAACTTAGGCAGAGTAATCATAGCTGGTGAAAATGTTGGGAGCCATCAGTATCTATTTAGTTGAATGACTGAGGGCAAACTTTCAAATGTATGGGGAGTATGATTTTAGAATGTCTTTTTCTTTTGTTGGAACCAAGAGATATGACAGTAAAGCTATGATCAAGCCATTTTTTTCTTTGCTTTCCATGCTGTAAAATGGAGCTAATAATAATACTCTCTTGCCTCTAACTCCCAAGACATCTCTAAAGATTAATTAAAGAAAACCTGTAAGGCATTTTTAACCCTCTTGGAAAGCATTCCTGTAGGCATCTAGTATTATTACCGTAAATTATTCTAGGCATTTTATACTTAACTTGAAAGCATACATTATATCAGGCTTACTCCTGCAGGCTACAGTATGCTTTACTAGCAGTGCACGTTCGTGCACACACACACGCACACATTTTCTGTTTATTAAAAACTTGTAGGAAAGTATAGTTGTAATTTACTGTTTATCACCTGGTGCTCAAGGAGAAGACAACTTTTTAATACCTGAGAGAAACCAATATAGGAAATACAACTTTAGTAGAGTATCTGAGTTAGCGTCAGAGTGAGTGGAGAAAATGCTAGCTGAAGATGGCACAACTCCATTAAGGGACTTTAAAGGTCCTGTATAAGAATTGAACAGTGTCGGAGCTGTGTGCCATCTTTTTACACATTCATTCATCTGACAAGTATTCATAGAGTACTTTCTGTGCTCCAGCCACATCAGGGAACAAATTAGGAACAAGTCTCTGTTGGTGTCCTAAGATGAAGTTTTTAGAGGTAAGCAAAGGGAATCACATTGATTTCCATTTGTTGAACAGCATCTGCCTATTTAAAAACAAAACATTTCTATCTGACAGAAATTTGAAAATAATAAATATATTCTGTT